CCTATTCATAACATCAAAAAGAAGATTTCGTCAAAGTCAAAATAAAAAATTCTTAAATATAAAATTTTGATTCATTGTAAATTACTGAACATAGACTCCAGATTCCTTGGATTTTCAAATTGTGCTGTCATAGATAAACCGATCTGTTATATATTTTATATATTTATATAGAGAGTCAATCTCCGTGCGATTAGAATCAATGCGATTTACAGTCCGTCTATGAATTATGCATATGAATAGAATTATAATGATTTACAGTCTGCATATGAATAGAATTATAATGATTTACAGTCTGCATATGAATAGAATTATAATAATTTACAGTCTGCATATGAATAGAATTATAATAATTTACAGTCTGCATATGAATAGAATTATAATGATTCGCAGTCTGCATATGAATAGAATTATAATAATTTACAGTCTGCATATGAATAGAATTATAATAATTTACAGTCTGCATATGAATAGAATTATAATAATTTTCAGTCTGCATATGAATAGAATTATAATAATTTACAGTCTGCATATGAATAGATTTATAATAATTTACAGTCTGCATATGAATAGAATTATAAGGATTTACAGTCTGCATATGAATAGAATTATAATAATTTACAGTCTGCATATGAATAGAATTATAATGATTCGCAGTCTGCATATGAATAAAATTATAGGAATTTACAGTCTGCATATGAATAGAATTATAATGATTCGCAGACTGCATATGAATAGAATTATAATAATTTACATTCTGCATATGAATAGAATTATAATAATTTACAGTCTGCATATGAATACAATTATAATGATGTACTTTCTGCATTTGGATAGAATTATATGATTCACAGTCTGCATATGTATAGAATTATAATAATTTACATTCTGCATATGAATAGAATTATAATAATTTACAGTCTGCATATGAATACAATTATAATGATGTACTTTCTGCATTTGGATAGAATTATATGATTCACAGTCTGCATATGAATAGAATTATAATAATTTACATTCTGCATATGAATAGAATTATAATAATTTACAGTCTGCATATGAATACAATTATAATGATGTACTTTCTGCATTTGGATAGAATTATAGGATTCACAGTCTGCATATGAATAGAATTATAATAATTTACATTCTGAATATGAATAGAATTATAATAATTTACAGTCTGCATATGAACAGAATTATAATAATTTACAGTCTGCATATGAATAGAATTATAATAATTTACAGTCTGCATATGAATAGAATTATAATAATTTACAGTCTGCATATGAATAGAATTATAATAATTTACAGTCTTCATACGAATAGAATTATAATGATTCGAAGTCTGCATGTGCATATAATTATAAAATTTACAGTCTGCATATGAATAGAATTATAATAAATTACAGTCTGCATATGAATAGAATTATATGGCTTTACAGTCTGCATATGAATAGAATTATAATGATTCGCAGTCTGCATATGAATAGAATTATAAGGATTTAGATTATGCATATGAATAGAATTATAGGGATTTACAGTCTGCATATGAATAGAATTATAATAATTTACAGTCTGCATATGAATAGATTTATAATAATTTACAGTCTGCATATGAATAGAATTATAAGGATTTACAGTCAGCATATGAATAGAATTATAGGGATTTATAGTCTGCATATGAATAGAATTACAATGATGTACAGTCTGCATATGTAGATGACTATAATATTTTGCAATCTGCGTATGAATAGAATTCTAATGATTTACAGTCTGCATATGAATCGAATTATAATAATTTACACTCTGCATATGAATAGAATTATAAGGATTTACAGTCTGCATATGAATAGAATTGTAGGGATTTGCAGTCTGCATATGAATAGAATTATAAGGATTTACAGTCAGAATATGAATAGAATTATAAGGATTTACAGTCTGCATATGAATAGAATTATAAGGATTTACAGTCTGCATATGAATAGAATTATAGGGATTTGCAGTCTGCATATGAATAGAATTATAAGGATTTACAGTCAGAATATGAATAGAATTATAAGGATTTACAGTCTGCATATGAATAGAATTGTAGGGATTTACAGTCTGCATATGAATAGAATTATAATAATTTACAGTCTGCATATGAATAAAATTATAGGGATTCACAGTCTTCATATGAATAGAATTATAATGATGTACAGTCTGCATATGTAGATAACTATAATATTTTGCAATCTGCGTATGAATAGAATTCTAATGATTTACAGTCTGCATATGAATAGAACTATAGGATTGATAGTCGCTCACATAGTTGACATAAATGCCGTTTAAAATGTTTCATTATATGATATGTACATCACGCGATGAGCAACTAACAATTAATAACAGCATATTGACTTCGATAATCATATTTGGCGATTCTGATCAATGTAGAGTATAGAGAATCACAGATCATTGCCATCTCATTGGTGGGTTCATATTCAGAGGCATGACGAATGGCTGGCAATCCCATCGTGACTATATAAAATGGCGCTCGGTTGTCGTGGCGCTATCATAAGGTGACTACAACTACCAGATAAGTTAATGTTTCTTGTACGGGTAGTTATTGTATGAATTGAATACATAAATACATCACGAAATTATGAATGACTTAGCCTCACATAAATATGACATGTATAGTTTTACAAGTGACTTCCCATATAACATGTTAGTTCAATGTGATTATCTCAGTATGGTGTAATTTAAATTTCGGTACCAGAAAAGCCAATTTCAAAATACTTCATCATCTTGGAATTTTCTTGAAGGAATTATATTAATACGACAGTTATTGATAAATATCATTTGTAATGGCATTGAAAGTAATCGGAGTTCATGAACGGCAATGAGTTATGCCAAAACCCAGAATGGTCTATGATGTGTCGAATACGTGTTTCCAACTTACAATCACTAGTGTTTGGCCTTGAGAAGCTGTGAAGTAAATGCATATGATAAGCAGAATGTACAATTCGTACTCCTACAATATCAGCTTTATCAAGCTCTTGTATTATTTTTTTTATTTGTTTCGGGTTTAAAAAATACTTGTTTAATAAAATATATTGATGGGTCACTCCTCTATACTCTCACTACTTGCTTTACCCGATTCTAGTGAGAATTTCTCCCGAATTGTGAGAAACACATTAATCGAATTTACTCAAAATTAGTAACATTACTGAAGCATTTCATAAACCCTAGACTGTCGACAGTCGGTCGTACCTAATACTAATCTGTTATTATTAATAAATACTGTGTATAAACGTAATAGGCGTGAATAAATTGCGAACGCCGGGACAGGAAGTATGGAGTGCACGACCGACTGTCCGGTGCTGCAATTCACTGGTAAGATTTCTTACCAGATCCGGGTTCTTTCATATGCAAATGATAGTCGCGCAGGTGTCTATCATTTTATCTTGCCCAATCGTGAAAAGGGTCAGGTGTCTCTGGCAGCTAGGATCGCCCACGACTTACGCGAAGTTTGTTATGACTGTACTATACGCGATCGCGACACTTTCCACGGCAGTTTTTGATATTATGACACAAACAAATCTTGACGAATGCATTATAAAGTGCTGAAACGTTTAGACTACCGTGATATTTCTTGCAAGGAATACCAGCGAGACATTTTCGCAAACTACACAGAGGGGAGAGATGTGTTCGTCTGCGTGCCGTGTTGACATTCGTCTTGTCAAAAAGAACTCGTTTAGAAACCAGGGATGGGGGATCAGTTCAGTTGCCATTCTCTTAGAGGAAAATGACTGCGACCTTTTCAATAACTCTCGCTTAGTGTGTTGAAATTTCTTCCTGAACTGATTTCATGTTTTTATTCGATTCCGCGAAACAGACTCCTCCGGTTTTCTATATTTTCTATTTGACTGTCCGAACAATGCACGCTGTTTTTTTGGTTCTAGGCGATTTAATAGTTTTCTTTGCTATTTTGGTTGGAGTGAATGTATTTATTGTGTCCATAACGTGAACAACCAACGCATTCAGGGGTCATTTGGAATAAATTTGCATACATCATGTTAATATAATTTGTTTCGTGACGTCAGCATCACTATGAATTATTCATATCAACCAGAAACCTGCAGACGTGGACAGTCTCTCGGGTCTAAAGTCCCTCACGTGAAATTGTTCGCATTTCCCATCAAAAACTTCGGCGTTCGAAAGTCTAGGAAACACAATTACATTAGGCCCGCGGACTGTCGACAGTATACAGAAACCCTAAATATATTTGATTGCTTCAAACATGGGGATCAGCGGGTTTTATTGAGCAGCGCCCTCACACACTCTGTTGATTGTGTTCCTGGCATTAATTTGTATGTTTTTAAAGCTTCAACATTTGATTGAACAGGATACGACTTATTAAAGAAGTGAAATGAGTTTCAAAAACATATCTAGGGATTTGAATCACATAGTGATTGAGCAAATTAGTTCATACATCGACACCATGTATCATTACACAATAATCGCAACATATGGTATGCATTCATCTAAATATATTTCATCAACATAATGATCTCTACAGTAATAATATAACAGTGGTGGTGAAATACAAGCAATGAAGTAAATAATTATTAACGAACACATTAATTGTATAGAATTTAACTTGTAAAAAGGTATATATATTTAGAACTTGGTTATATCATTATCGAATTGTATTCTAAATTTCCAAATTCATGGTTTTAGGTTGTTCTTCTGTAATGATAACTGAGCGTTTATATTTTAGCATATTTGCCGATTGATTTTATGTGAAGAGTCGTGATTTTGCCCTGCAAGGCTTGTCAGTATTCATTTGCATGAATGTGTTGGGGTATATCTAGACTAGATTATTATATGTAATTTATAGATTGAAATCAACTAAGACAGAAATGGTACTTGTGTCACCAAGAACTATAATGCTAGTCATTTAAATTTTTCGTGAGTTTTCATGATGTAACATCTTTATTTCAGCCAAGTTAAACTTATTAGACCCGATTTTCCCGCTCTATATTTGCCGAACCATGAATTTTCTTCACGTTTGGTGATTGTTGACGACCTTCTCCAGTCTTTTTACCATATCCTCCGTGTTCTTTAGTTTGCTTGGCGTTTCCATTTACCATGGCCTCTTTCTTTTTATTTCCAGCTGTTTTTAATTCCTTCATCTGATGCTTGGATTTCTTAACGTGGATATCTGGCTTGGTTCCTTCACCTTGTCTGTCAGTTTCGCGGGTTCTTGTATACTGTTTATCTGTGAGTTGTTTGGTTTTAGACTCACGTACGGCTAATTTCATTGATTTGTCTCCATCAATATTTTTATTATTAAGGTTTCCTGGCAAAGTAACTTTCCTCTCGTCAACACTTTTCTTAGAAATTGCGGTTGTCTTTCCAATTTTCTCTTGAATACGTTTTTTATCAATCTTCGTCATTATCCCACCATTACCGAAGCTTTTCATGTATTTATTATTCAAATTAATTCCGAACCCTATATCTACTTTGTTACTACCATGTAGCCGACTGATTTGGTAGTTTGCACTCCTAACTGATTTTTCACCTAATGTCGAAAATATTTTATTTCTCTTCAAGTTATTTTGTGTAACCTTTGACATTTTAATCAAATACTTTGCTCGGTATTCCTTTTCTTTTTTAGATTGCATCTCTGCATTTTCTTCTTTATTGTTTTTCAAGATCTTTCGTGATGGCAAGACTTTGTTTTTCGGCTGTCGGCAGCTCGTCCCTTCAAGACACTGATGCTTACTGGCTGCTGAATTGAGCATTTTCCTTCTCAATTTATTTTTCCTAACATCCATAGCTGCACTACCACTTGGTGTACCAAAATTAATCCAGTCGCCATCCACTTTATTACCTGTTGGAACGGTCATGCAATCGCCAGGATACTCATCTTCACCGGATGTACAGTCAGGAAAGCCATTGCATTGCAACTTGCTGATAATACAACTACCATCTACACATTGAAACTCATCTGTGCTACAACACTCAAATTCGTCTTCACCGCCCGGACAATCGATTTGTCCATTGCAGATTGCATCAGATTCAATGCAAGTTAATTGGTCACCGCAGGGTGCCTGTGATTCACCACAACCACACACTGCATTGTTTTCATCATCGCCATCTGGACAATCTTGTGCACTGTCACAGAGCCAAAAATAAGGAATGCAACCACCTCCACTGCATGGGAACATGTCATCTTCACAGC